AATTGGTTTCCTGTGTAATTTTATTTATGTATTAAAAATCATTTCTGTGACAAGAAGCCCCAAAGGATCCATGGCACAAAACAGTTACAAGCTGTTGAGTGTAGTGGTGCATGCCTGTAATCTCAGCTACTTGGGAGGTAGTAGAATCACAAGTTCAAGGCCAACCCCAGGCCAAAAAGCGGGATCTTGTTTTTTAATAAAAAAGCTCAATGAATGAATGGTGTGTCTCTTTCCCATTTGCATTTTCAGTGTTAGGTGTCTGGTGGATTGATGTTTAGGAACTAGCCTTCAACAAGGTCTTTTGGAAACTGCTTTGACCATGTGGCCATGAAAGCAGCTTTATGACAGAGTTCTGGCCATTCTCTCCCCCACTTCTTTGTGCATCTGCTTCCTCCCTGCCTACACACCACTGACCAGACTGTCCCTTCACAGGGCCACCCTCTGCTCCTGAGGGCACAGTGCCCCCACCTGGTTGACTAGCAGAGACTGGTGTCTCGGGGTCCTGAGTTCCCGGGAGAGTAGGTGGCCACCTGGGTACAGTTGCTCTGGCCTGGGCGGCACAGTCTTCAGGGCCCTCTCCGGGGGTGAAGGAGCAGTTCTCAGGGTAGTTTCTGGCCAGGCTGAGCCCCGATGGGAGTCTACTCCCTGATATAGGAGTCGTGGCTTAGCAGGCTCCAGGATGGAAGTTGGATGGTTGGGGGTTCTCTGGCCTGGCAGGGATGCTCTGCTCTGCTTGGTCCTGTTATTTCTTAGCATGTGAAATATCGCTTGTCTGAGAGTTACTGCCCATAAATTTGGCTGTTTTTGTCAGTGGCGAGACATGCAGGAGTCAGATCGGAAACAAGCGCTCTGTCTTTCCAGCTCAGGCCTTCAATAGAAAGCATAACGGGTCACACACTGCTGCTGCCACACTTCATCTCGAGGTGGATGGGGGCCACAGGGTGGGGGAGCCCTGAACTCCAACTCTAGGGCTTGGCTTTCTGAACTTGGAGCCCAGAGCCCTCTATTGGGAACCCGCCTTCTAGCAATGAGAGCTAGAAGTGCTGTTGTTCTTTCTTGAACATTTATAGCTTATTTTTTTGTTTTAGGAAAAGAGAAAGGAATAAGTGAATAGAAGCTTTTAGGGTAAGGCTAATGTGGACAGTAACTAGCAGCCTAAACAAGTGCTTGTCCCTCGCTGGCCTGGCAGAGCCTTCCTTGTGCTGCCATGGCTAGTCCCCACCTGGGCTCTGCAGAAGGTGGTGTCAGGGATGGCCAGAGCCCAGGCCCCGGTGTTCACTGATGAGGGTTTGAACTCCTTGGTCCTGTCCCTAACTAGCAGTAGGTCACACTTCTTCTCTGTGCCTGTTTCTCATTGGGATTCAAGAAGTCTGGGACTGTTGGGAAGATTAAATAAGCTAAAAATGTAATATCCAGCCACTGCCTCTCCCATACCATGCTCTCTTAGTGCTATGCTGGCCCCTAACTGGAGAAGTGGCTGGGGCTGTTGGCATCCTTCAGATGGGATGCAGGGAGCCTATGGCCAGTGCAGGCAGAAGGCCTGAATAGCCGTGGCATCTGTGTGGAAGACTGTGTGACACAGGACAAGTAGGGAGAGGAGGCCTTTGGTTTGACCAGGCTGAGCAGTCGGAGATGATCTTGGGGAGACCCACAGAGTGCCAGGCACATCCGACAAGAGCAAAGCCCACCTCAGCCTTGAAATGAGCAGGGGGGATCCACTCAGAGGATGGGCCAGTTGGCCGTCCCCCACTCGGCCTCCCATGGTGACTTACTGTGATCCTGTCTGAACCAAGCTGGGCAGGTTCCATCCCTACAGGCTTGTCTGTTTTGGCCTTGAATGGCCTGCTGGGGTTGTTGCCAGACCCCCAGCCAGATGTCCACCTGTTCCAGTCGGTTAGTCTTGTTGAGATAGCCCAAGGGCCTGGTCCAGCCTGGACCCCTGAGCTGGCATTTCTTTTCATCATGGTTTTTGGATTTTGCATTCCGATGCTTGACTTTCTCAAGGGTTTCTAGTGGACTGTCTTGTCACCCAGGTCCAGGAGGCCTTTCCCTGGCTCTGGGGCTGCTCCTCTCAGTTCCATCTCCTTGGCAAGGAAATTCCTCAAAGTTTTATATTTCCCTTTTTGTTATCATGTACTAATACAACATATTTTTAGTGCTTTAGTATTTATTTGCTCATTTCAAGAAATGTTACGTGTGCGGGTTGGAATCACCATTATGAAACAGTTCAGCGTGATTCTTTATTGTGCTGCTATTTATATGTCATAGAATCGCATTTCTGGAGCTGTGTACCTGTCACCACCATCTGGTTTTAGAACATTTCCATCACCTCCAAAAATGCTCTTGTGTCCCTGTGTAGCACCCCCACCTCAGCCCCACCGATGGCATGTTGGCTCTATAAACTTGCCTTTTTTAGACATTTCCTAAGATGGAATCATACAATGCATTCTTTTGCATCTGACTTTTTTTACTTAGTGTAGTGCTTCTGAGGTTTAATCGTGTTGTAGCTTGTATTAGTATTTCATTTCTTTTTATAGCTAGTAGTACTACATCAGGTGGATGTCTTACCATGCTTATGCATTTGCCAGCTGATGGACATCTGAATTGCTTCCAGCTTTTGAATGCTCCTATAAACATTCACATACGTGCCTTTGTGTGGATATGTTTTCATCTTTTTTTTTAGATAGATCCTTAGGAATACAATGGTTGGGTTGTGTGGTAAGTTTTGGTTTAACTTTAAGGAGCTGCTAATTTTCCCAAGTGGTTATACCATTTTGCTGTCCCACCAGCTATGCACAGGGGTTCCACTGCTCCACACCATGGAGCACTTGCTATGGGCCATTTGTGTTCCTCCTTTGAATTCTAGCTACCCTAGGGCAGAGGTGGGGTGTTAGTATTCTGATTTGCACTTCCCTGATAGCATTTCCCTTGTATGCTGGTGATATATTTTCTTTTGAGAAATGTCAACTTGAATATTTTATGCACTGCTTTCTAAGCCTATACCAGCTGTGGGATTCGTGGTCCTTGATGACAGGGAACACGCTTTTTCCTGGGTCAAAAATGATTAAGAAATGAGCCTTCTCAGCTCATCTTCTTTCCTTGGTCACGAAAACGGAATTTGGTCTCTCTGGCTCAGTGTTCCCTCTTTACCTGTCTGGTTCTTTTTGTCTGTATTTCCTTTATTTAAAAATTCTGCCTACTTTTTAAGCTGTCTTTATTTGTTGATGGACCTTTGTTTATTTAATATATGTGGTGCTGGAAATTGAATCTTGTGCCTCACACATGCTAGGCAAGTGCTCTACCACTGAGCCTCAACCCCAGTCCCTGTTTTTCCTTATTTTAAATGAAAATTATCAGGCACTAGGAAAGATTGAGAGACCAGGACAGTGGACTCCTGTGTGCCCTCTGCTCTGGATCCTGCATCTGTGAACATGCTACCTTTTTTTGCTTCATCTCTGCTCATGTGAGTTTTGCCCATTTGAAAGCTAGTCACAAACTCACTTTGCCTCTAAATTCTGCCTGGGCAATGTCTGCAGATCAGGACCTCCTCCCACTTAGTCAGTGCACACCTTCTCCTGCCTAGGACATTGGGGTACTCAGTGATGTCATCCAGGACCACATTCAGTAGTGTTTATAGGGCAGAATGGGGAAGTCAGAGAAGGTAGAGGGCTCACAGGATGGAGCTGAGCAGCTAGCTAGCAGGATGAGAGATGTGTCACTGGCATGTTGAGGACGTGCAAAGAGGAGCCTAGTCATCTGATGTCCCTTCTGTTCAGTGGACTCTGTGACAGATTTCTGCTCTGTGATGGGGCCCATGACAGAGCCACGGGGGCACAGTTGAGTCAAGAGTGGACTGGCACTTTTCATCTTTCCTGGTGTCCTTTGGGTTAGGTCTTGCCTTCTAGGACTAAGTTCTTCATGGCACCGTAGATGCTACATGTCCCAGGTCAAGTTCATCTCCTTCCCCCAAGTCCATCACGCCACCTCTGTTCTTCCATGATGAGGGACACAGCATCCTTCTGGCATCTCAAGCCAGAAGCCATCCATTTGGTGTCCAGCTCTCCCTCACCTCAGTTTCTGTGGAATCTCTGTCCTCCGTTTTTCTCTCCTGTCTTCATTGCTGCCACCTTAGCTCAGAGGACTCCCCTCATCTCTTACCTGGGTAGTTGCAGGTGGCTTTTGACTGGTGTTCCCCTACCTATCCACCCTACACTCTTGGCCATTTTCCTGCTAAGATAAGTGTTGGCAGCTACTCTATGCTCTGGGATGTGGTGGATACTTCCGAAGGTGTGCAAACATGGTGTGGGAGCAGTCCATTCTGTTGGGTGGTCTCTGCATGATAATCAGAGGTGACCTAGGAGCAGGTCATGAGTGAAGACATACATGATGGTGGAATAGCATGAGCAAAGAACATGAGTGTGACGAGTGGAGCCACCTCAGGATTGGGGGAGGGATGAGATGGTGGATGTCAAGTGCTTGGCGCATGATGAATCCCGCTATCTCCCAGGGAGTTATTGAGGAAGTGATGTGGTGCCTGGGGTGCACAGTAGGATCAGTTTGTCTTCACTCCATCTTTGTCTTAAAGACAAATTCCACAAACTCTATCTACCTGCAAGGGTCACATATACACTGAAATGATTGCACAGGCCAGGTGGGACCAAAAGCTCTGATGTATGGGGCAGCCTCTGCTCAGCTCAGCTCAGCTGATTGTCACTGTGTAGAGACGTGGGCCCAGTGCTGTCAGGAAAGTCAGAGATCCAGAATTCTATGTGAAATCTTCCAGTTTTTAGATGTTGGTAATTAATTTAAAGACTAATAAAACCCTGCACAAGCCAGCCCAACAGACGACCTTTGTGGGCCATATTGGGTGCCAAGGCCACCAGCTGACCTTTCTTTAAGGTATTCTCCTAGGGGTTCTGCTGAAGTCTGGCACAGCTCTCCCCTGGGGGAGGTTCAGTTGGTTTTAAAACCTGATTTTCATGAGCCCCTCTGCCTTGCAGGACTCCTCCAGGCAGGTTATGTCACCGGCAGAGGCTGCCCTGAAGCTCCCTGCGGCCTGGAGACTATGTACAAGAGGAATGGTCTGATGGCTAGCGTGTTGGTCACCTCCGCCACTCCACAGGTATAGAAGCTGCAACGATTTGGGACAGTGGGTGGGAGGGGCCTTCCAGCTGACCCAGGCCCCAGCTGAGCCAGGGCAGCAAGGCCACAGACCCCCATGAATGCTACCATTCTTAGCACTCGCAAGGCCCCTGGCCATGCCAGGCGTGAGATTTGGGAGGCAGTCAGCTCTGAGGATCAATGTGTTTCTGAAGTCGTTCTCTTCAAAGGAAAACAAATACCTGCCCAGTCCAGCCATAGCAAGTGCCACATTCCATTTTGGTGGCAAAAAGGGATCAGACCTTTCCCAGGAAAAGCCGCTGCTGATTATAAATAAGTCACACATTCCGGAATGAAGTCAGACAGAAATAATTCCAACTGGCCCGTGTTCTTGTTTGCCTTGCTCTGTAGGAAATGGCTGTAAGGGTTGGTGGTCTGAGAGTGGCCTGGGCTAGGCCCCTGCATGGGGTGTGGGAGTTTGCTTTCCATGCTCAGTAATGGAACAGACTTGCAGGAGAAGTGGGCATCACCTGAGGCCCTCTTTGCTGACTGCATAATGCCTGGCCCCTCTGATATACTGGCAAGGCAGTGTTGGGGTCCTGAGCTCACCACAAGTGGGGCTTTTGAAGTGATCCTGGTGACCAGCCAGAAAGTCATGGGAACTAGTTCATTTCTTATAAATCTTTCAAAAAATTCCTTATTTTGATTTCTAATCTTGAAATCAAGCTTCAGATTCCTCACAAGGGCCTGTATAGTTTAAATTAAGTTGCTATAGCTTCACCATCATCATCATCACCAAGGAAAATGTTTGGGGCAACTTTTGATTAAACAAGTCCCCGTGAATGTGTGTGTGTGTTTGGAGCAGGTACGGTGGAGTATTATAGGAAGGTTATAAAACCTGAAATCCCAGGAAAGGACTCTGATAACTGGAGGAATTGACTTCTGTTTTCAACTATAATAATAGAGTAAAACTTCTCTGATCTGTGTGTATACTTGTGGGCATATACATGATATGTGTATGTACTATATTTTGTTGGCCCCCTGTATCCATGAGATCCACCAACTGTAGATGGAAAATGTTCTAGAAAAATTGTTCTGAACATAACTTTTTTCTTGTCATTATTCCCTAACAATACAGTGTAACAACTATTTACATTGTATTAGGTATTGTATCTAGAAATGATTCAGAGTATACAAGAGCATATACATATGTTATTGGCAAATTCTAAGCCATTTATGTAAGGGACTTGAGCAACTGCAGATTTGAGCATCCTTGAGAGGTCCAGAACCAATCCCCCATGGATACAGAGGGAAGGCTGCATGTGTGTAGGTGTGTAATCAGCACTTGGTAAGTATTTGGTAATGTTCCTTGAATGAATTAGCATGTATAATTGAAGTGCTCAATAAATCTTGGTGACTGGATGGCACAGTTATACCCATACACACCCATAATTTAGCTTTTACTCTATTCCAGGCAGTTTTTAAAATGTGGTACACAGGGTTTCTCTCACTTAACCCTCACAGTGACCCCCACAGGTATGTATTGATATTCCAGTTTATAGATGAGGAACTAAAGGCACAGAGAGGTGAACATGCTGGCTTTGGATCTCATAGCTGGCCAACTGGGTGGGGTCTAAGCCAGCCTATTGTGTCTCTTGAATTTGTCCCCCTAACCATGACACTGTACTGTCCCAGAGGAAATCAGCCTGTCAAGCCTGATGGAGGTGGGTACTCAGTACCTCCCTGGAAGGTGGGTACTAAGTGCAGAATGACTCATAGAGATGAAGCTCTGTAGGTTGATTTTGATGTGGTTGATTTTCTTACAGGGATCATATAGCCAGGTGCCGACAGGTCCAGCTCTGAAACTCATATACACCCAATACTGGGGAGGTAATAAGAACAGCTTCCATTTTTGGAAACCTCCTATGTCTAGGTCTTTTGCTAAATGTTTTACATGTCTTATTTAATTCCCTTCTCCTTACGAATTAGGCATAATTATTATTCTTAGATAACAGATAAGCAAATCAGTGCTTAGAGAAGAATGTCATCTCACACAGACAGAAACTGGGATGGCTGGGATAGAGATGAAGCTCTATCAGCCATTCTGCACTCAGGAACCCAGGATCTGACCTGCTAGGCAAGCCCTCTGTCTCTGAGCCCGTCCCCAGCCCTGTGCCGTAGCTTTTTACTTACTTTTTTTTTTTTAACACTGGACAGAGCAGTTGAGGGTGGCCATTGAAAGCAAGTGTTTTGGTGTCATGGAAAACTAGGTTCACATTCTGACTTCCAGTTTCACAGCTGAGGTACCCTGGAGAAGTAACTCTGCCTCTGCTTCCTTATCTGTAAAATGGGAATAATAATGGTGTATATGCATGGGGGCTCATGAGAATTAAATAAGATCCTGTGTGTGAAGTGCTTATCACAGTGCCTGGACAAGAGTGACGTGCTGGCCACAGAAGCCTTTTCATTGTGTGATCTGTCCTCCTCTGACCTCCCTGTGGGGCAGTTGGGGCAGTGATTCCAGGGCAGACCCTCAGCCTGTGCGCTCTCCACTTTCTTCACAGGGCAGCAGCAGCTCAGACTCTCTGGAGGGCCAGAGCTGCGACTATGCCAGCAAGAGCTATGACGCCGTTGTCTTCGATGTCTTGAAAGTGACTCCTGAGGAGTTTGCCGTAAGTGACACAGTGACACAGTGATAGGGTGCTAGAGGGCATCATGGCTCTGGGCTTCCTTCCCAGGTTGGGGCACCCTGTACATCTACCAGGAGGGGAATGTTGGATAAAGGATGCTATGTCCTTTAATGCCCGTTGGAAAGGAAGCTGTGGGTCTGGCTGTTACCGTCGTAGAAGGTGCACACGGTATATACAATGAGGAGGCAAAGGACGCAGGTCCAGCACAGTCCTGGAGAATGGGCTGCTTCTAGACAGCATTCTCAGCACACGTGCACACGCACACACAAGCATACATATGTAGTGTGTGTGTACACACACCCATAATGGGATAAGTTCTAAATTTGATATATACTCGTAAATAATCAGATCTACAGAGCCAAACATATTTACTATACTGTTTGGCTGTACATTCCAATATTTGGAATTTAATTTTTCTTCTTTTATCTATTTGCACATGCTACATTTTTATAATAGTCATTTTCTGCAATGATAGACAACATTATTTGTGTAATTTTTAAAAATTATAAATTTAAGAAGGGGGATTTCACAAAAATAAAAGGAAGATCAATAGAGTAGAGGAAGAAAATCAAGAGAAAGGAGGAGGGGGCCATGAGAAAGTACCAGGAATGAAATGTACCAGATTATGCTGTGTCCAGGTACAGATATACCACAAATGACCCCCATATATATGTAATTCTAATGGGCTAATTAATAATAATAATAATAATAATAATAGGAGGAAGATCAGTAGATTAGAGCAAGTGGATAAAGGGAAGAAGGAGTGGAGGGAAAGGGGTGGGCTGGGCAGTGAGATTGGTTAAGCTGTGTGCATATGCAAATATGGCATAATGAATTCACTATTATGTATAATATAATACATCAATAAAATTTTAAAATAAAATAAAAATCATAAATTCAAAAAATTGTTTTTTCTCCAGCTACGGCTGATCTGACAGAGAGACTTCCCCTTGGGTGGAGCAGAGGTGGCTCCATGTTTTGCTGTGACTTGGTTTCCTCCTTTGACTTTGTGGATAGAGGGGGGATATTGGCTCTGGGATGGCCTCAAGCCTGATTCTGAGCTCTTTCCAAGGGCTGTATTTCTCTTTAGATCCATGGAAGGCTGTGCTGGGCCTTGTGCACGCTTGCTCTCCAGTGTGTCTAGGGATCCATTGAAAACCTGCTTCATTTCTACAGTGGCTCCTCCCTCCCACTCCAGTGAGGGTGCCTCCTGAGGCCCCTGCCTGGGGGTCTGGCCATGGTCCCTCCTGCATACTGACTGCTTTCTCTCTAGCCTCCCCAGAGCCTCTGCCTGGCTCTTCCTTCAGTCCAGCAGCCTGCTCAGTCTCCATTCAAACGTCAGTCCTCCCTTTCCCTGGTGTAGGCAGTGTCCTCCACCACTCTCCCCTTAGCGGCCAGCTCTGTTTTTCTTCAGCCCATTCCTATTACACATTAATGTTGGAACCTAACATTACATTATAGAACACTATTTTTTTTTGTATTGCATGTCTTCTCCACTGGAATATAAGCTCTCTAAGGTCAAGAACTGACTTGTTCATTGATTTTTCCCAGTGCCCAAAATGTACTTAGCTCATAGTAGGTACTCAGTATGTGTTAATTCTCACAACAGCCTATTGGGGCATATCCTCAGTTCCTGATTGTCTGAAAGAGAAACTGAGGACCATATGGTTGATTTTCTTTCATGGATCATATAGCCAGGTGCCGACAGATCCAGCTCTGAAACTCGTATACACCCAGTACTAGGAGGTAATAAGAACAACTTCCATTTTTAGGTACATCCTATGTCTAGATCTTATGCTTAATGTTTTACATGTCTTATTTAATTCCCTTCTCCTTATGAATTAGGCATAATTATTATTCTTAAATAACAGATAAGCAAATAAGTGCTTAGAAAAGAGCGTCACCTCACACAGAAAGTGGCATGGCTGGGATTTGAAACTGGAGCTGACACACTGCTCAAGAGACGTGTAGTCCATGTCTCAGATGCAAGTTTATATTTTCTAGTAGCCTCTTTAAAAAAAAGTTGAAGTTACAAAAATAAAAGTGCATTTGTGTCTAAGAAACCTCAAAAAGTAACTGCCACATTTTTGAATACCACATGACACTAATCTAAAAGAACTATGAGAAGTTAGAAAAGATACCCTGAACATGTTTCTCTCCAAAGGTTCAAAAAACTTATTTTACATAAAAATATTCAAAAGAAATTTATTGTTGTCAAATCTCACTAAAAATTATCATGAGAAAGAAAGAGAATACCCGCAGGCAATGAGAGTTTGGCGGAGATGTACACCGTAAAACAAATAAAACCTGAAGCTGACTATTTCAAAATGACCTAAGAGCTGGGTATGGTGGCAAAGGCTTATAATGCCAGCAGTTCAGTAGGCTGAGGCAGGAGGATCTTGAGTTCAAAGCTAGCCTCAGTGAAAGCAAGGTGCTAAGCAACTCATGAGACCCTGTCTCTAAGTAAAACATAAAATAGGGCTGGGGATGTCGCTCGGTGCTCCAGTGTCCCTGAGTTCTATCCCTAGTACCAAAAAAAAAAAAAAAAAAAAAGTGATCAACATACTTTGAAAACAGAAGAATCTTAGAAATGAAGTAATGGAACTTAGGGAAAAAAGAGAAAATAAAAGAAAAATTCCTTTGGAAACAAAAAATTGAGCTGGAAGGAACACAGGAATAGATAAACATAGCAGAAGAGAGAGAACTTTCATATAAAAATAAATGAAAGAGTTCTTAAGACTTGGAGGCAAAGTGACAGTGTATTAGTCAAAAATCTCCAACATATAGATAGTGGAATCCTCGAAAGGGAATAAAAAGGCAAGGGAACTGAACAATATTTATATTTATGAAAAGTTTATGAAAAATAAAATTCAAGGCTACATATTGAAAGAACTCAGTGTGAAACCATGAACCCTGAATGACCATGACTACAGACATTCTTCATAAACTACTGGATTTAAAAAAATACACAACTTTTTTCTGTAGTTGTACACGGATAGCATGTCTTTATTTTATGTATTTCTATTTATGTGGTGCTAAGGATCAAACCCAGTGCCTCATACATGCCAGACAAGCACTCAGCCACTGAGCTACAGCCCCAGCCCAAACTACTGGATTTTTAAAGGGAAAGGAAAAATCCTTTGCATATCTTGGAAAAAATGGCAAATAACTTATTAGGGAAAGATTAGATCACCACCAGTCTTTTAGAAAGAAACATCTTTTTTTTTTTTTTTTTTTTTAATGCCAGAGAAAAATGGAATGGGATAATTGAGTAAGTCAAGGAAAGAAGGAAAAAGTAAGTTGAAAAATTTTATCAAAAAAATTTTATCAAACTGACTGTAGAGTGTCAAGGACACAGATACCCTGTTATGAACCAGCAGGTCCTCAGAGGATATTGCCCCCGGGCTCTTCCTGAGGAATCTGCTGAACAAGCTCAGAGAATGAGAACAACTAGAAGCATCATGAGAGGGACTGGTGGAGAACAGTGAGCATGCCTGTTACTCATAGAACTGAGATTAAGTGCGGATTCAAACACAGAAGGAGGAGCTTACAATGGCTATGCCCTGACAGTACACAGACTGCTGTTCTTATAGTGTTTAAACTCTTTTAAAGTATGGGGAGAGAATGGAGAGAACATATGCAAAAAATGTCATAAGTATTCTCAGCTTGTGTGTAGGTGGTGGTAGCATTAGTATTGTTATTTTGAGAATAGACTGCTGTATATATAACATAGAATAAAGTAAATTAGTAATTATGGGATACTGTAATCCTAGTCTACTTGTGGTACTGGAGACATGGATTTTTGGTATAGAAGAAGGAAGATATGAATGCAATACACAATAGGCTAAGTAAGTTTTTTTTTAAAAAAGGTATCCTGAACCTGAATTGGAAATATTAGGTATGAATTCCAGACTGTGGACTTGAAATATCATTTTCACTAAAAGATCCCTGGACTTCTGGAGGGCTAGCTAATTCCAAGTCTGGGATAAGAGAAGATGATCTGGGTACATCTTCCAGTTCTAAAGACAACCAGGTAGAAGCTCCTACTGACCAGTGAGGGGACAATTTGACCTTCAAAAGACTAATAATCTCAATTGATTGAAATCCATCGAACAATGGGTCACCACTATGTGATGATAGGAGACCAATTTATTACCTTAAACCCTATTACATGTGAGAAAACAATCAAGCATTTGAGCGATGCTGGATAACCTAATAATAGATGAGGGAAAGTGTGTCTTCATTAGATTAGTTCAGTTAATGAATGGAAAAGACATGATAGAATTGGAATGCCATCATTTTGTAAACCCAGTGAATGAATAGATTCAAGCAGTGAGCATCAACAACCATTGACATCACAACATTATGTGCCTGCTGAAAAGCAAAGCACCCACCTCTATCTTGCCAGAGGGACAGAATCTGTGTCTGAAGGAGCCTGTGGGTCCAGCTGTTGATTGAAAATACCAAGGATGGAAAAACATGGCGACCAGCCCTGTGAGTATGGGGAGGAATATAGAGGAATGGAGAAGGTACTTGTAGATTAAAGGAGATGTAAAAACACACACCCCAAAGTTTTTAAAGAGTGAAATAGAGTGCACTGTGATACTAGGTGTACAAGCTTTGGGGATGAAATTATGAAGAGACTTGAGGAGTGTCCAGGAGAGTGGGGAGGAGGGAACCTGTGACTGGGACAAAGCTTATGGGGAGCTTCTGGGGTGGTAAAATGTAGATACTATAAAAGTTACCATCTTAACAGTTGTTACCTGTGCATTTCATCGAGTACATTCACATTGTTGTGCAGCCAAACTCCAGAACTGTTTTCATCTTGCAGAACTGCAACTCTGTATCCCCAATTCCTCCTCCCACAGCCTGTGGCAGCCACCATTCTTTCTGTCTCTATGAATTTTGACTACTTGAGGTCCCTCAAATAAGTGAAATCATAGCATTTGTCCTTTTGCGCCTGGCTTATTTAACTCGGCATA